GATGTACTCATCATTGGTAGTAATAATGATATGATTAAAACTACTAAGAAAATGTTGAATAAACATTTTGACATGAAGGACATGGGCATTGCTGATGTAATTCTTGGTATGAAAATTACCAAAACATCGGAAGGATATGTTTTGTCACAATCTCATTACATTGAGAAAATACTTGACAAATTCAGCAAAGATGATGATCATCTTACTAGAACACCTGTAGATGTTAATTTGTATCTTTCTAAGAATGTACAGGAAAGTATTTCTCAATTAGAGTATGCTCAAATTATTGGAAGCTTAATGTACTTGATGAATTGCACTCGCCCAGATATAACTTATGCGGTAAGTAAATTAAGTAGATATACGAGTAATCCGGGAGTAGAACACTGGAAAGCAATTATAAGGGTTCTTAGATATCTCCGATTTACTCGTAATATTGGGCTGAATTATACTAGATATCCAGCAGTACTTGAAGGATACTGTGATGCAAATTGGATATCGGATACTAGAGACTCGAAGTCCACCAGTGGGTATGTCTTTACTCTTGGTGGGGCAGCTGTATCTTGGAAATCTTCCAAACAGACTTGCATTGCTAGGTCTACTATGGAATCAGAATTCATAGCTTTAGACAAAGTAGGGGAAGAGGCAGAATGGTTTCGCCACTTCCTTGAAGATATTCCAATATGGCCAAAGCCGGTGCCTGCTATATGCATACATTGCGATAGTCAATCAGCAATAGGTACAGCACAGAGTCATATGTATAACGGTAAGTCTAGACATATTCGTCATCGACATAATACCATGAGACAACTACTCTCTAATGGAATTATTTCCATAGAATATGTTAAGTCTAAAGACAACATAGCGGATCTACCAAAGGGTTAGCAAAAGAGTTAGTTGAAAATTCAACAAGGGGAATGGGACTTAAGCCTATTAAATAAGAGTTACCACAACGGCAACCCAACCTAGTTGACTGGAGATCAGGTTCAAAGGGATAACCGAGTTGTGAATGACTTAGAAGGATCACTGGGGAGTCCAACTCCTACCTATTTCTTTGATGAAATAATGATGTCTGCAGCGTTTGAGGTTAAGTAAAATTTTAATAATTCTTATATCTAGGTAAACCTGGTGGAGTATGGTAGGATACTCTTCATAAGAATCACCTATATGAGTGTGAACTGGGCCGGTTCTATGAGATTTGTGAAGGCTACAATTCTGTAGAGCACTCATGAAGACTAGGTTGTTCAGGGCCAAAATGAACACAATAGTGAGAACTAAACTGTGTCTGGGGATATACTGTGTGAGTTCTATTGTCTTGATTTACACAAAACGGCTGAACAATTCAAGACATCATGTTCACTGGTTAGCTAGTAAATCCGATAGTGTCTCACAAGGGAAGGTTCAAAGCCAAAATCTACCTATCCTTTGCAGAATATTTCTAATTTCTGTACTCTCTGTATTTAGATCATGTTGTTGCATTTTCTCTCCGTTAAATTCCATTCATGTGGGGGATTGTTGGAAAAATGGTATTTTATATGGCTTATTTTGGGCCAACTTTAAGGCCAATTTTGAGTGGGCCCCAAACGTTGTTTGGGGTGGGTCCGAAGAGGTGAAGACGGAACGTCAAAACCATTTATGAGTGAATGGGAAGTTGACGTCGTTTTCGGGTCTAACATTAAATTTTTTTTAGATAAAATTCATTTGAATTTTTTCAATAAAAATTATTGTGGGAATTTAATTTAATTCTAAATTCAAGTTTTGGGTTCCTAAGTGGTTTCCTAAAGTTTGTAATTGTGGGAATTTAATTTAACTCTAAATTCAAATTTTGAGTTCCTAGGTGATTTCTTAAAGTTTGTACCTCTTTTTTTATTTATTAAACTATTCAAATATATATATATATATATATATTCTAATTGTTTAGTATATATATTTACCAAATAGTTTAATAATAAATTTTCCAAAGAGGTGGTAGAAAACTATTCCACTAAACGGTTGGTTTTTATTAAACTATTTAAATAGTTTAATAAGTTTAGTCCAACAGTTTGAATTTTTGTTCTGCAACGGTCAGATTCAATTTTTCAATTAGCACCTGTTCGGCTTCCTCACCTGTTCGGGTCTAATTTTTGGCTATATATACAACCATTTTCCAGCAGTTCGGATGATGAAAAATCAGTCTATAAATTCAGTTTTCCTGTCCTAAATTCTGCACTTATGAATTATTCTTCGTATTAGAGTTAGAATAAAATTCAGAGAGTTAGAACACATGTTTGGTTTGCCGAACAAATTGTTTGGAGTGCTATTACAATTTGTGAAGATCATTGTATCTTGGGAGATAGACACCACTCAACCGTAAGCATCGTAGCAAGGCGAATCTGTCTTAAGGACAGAGTGTCATACACTCGACTTGGTCTTAATTTTAATTCGGTTCGATAAATAAATCTGGTATGTTATTTATTTATTTTGTTTGAATTTATTTCAAGTTATTTTATATACACAGAAGATTGTTCCAACATATGTATATACTTATCTGCAAAGAAATTAGAGGAGAACTTGAAAGGAAGAGTGAAGCTACTATGCAAACAACAAAAATTTCTCATGACACATGGAATAATTAAAAAAAAAAAAAAAGCAGCTAAATTCACAATTTTAAGAAAAATGCTTCAGAGCTTGAAATTTTCTGAGGCTTAAGTGGCCTGAATTCAAAACGACGTTGTTTTGAAATTTTTTTTCTCTCTCTTTTATTTGTGAAACAGAGGGAGGGAGGAAGAGAGAAAAAAGGAAGAGAGAAGAAAGAGAGAAAAGGGAGGGGGAATAGAGAGACCCATCGGCGCCGCCATCATCGGCGCTGCCATCCTCCACAAATCCGTGTATACACAGATTTGTATTGATCTGTGTATATATATCTCTCTCTCTCTCTGTGTTCTGTGTATCTCTCTCTCTGATTGGTTTTGATTTGTGGGGTTTGATTTTTGGGTTTGATTTGTATTGGTTTTAATTTTTGATTTTTGGGTTTGAATCTCTCTGCTCTAGAAAAAGAAGAGATGTTGCTCTCTCTGATGCTGTTGCTCAAACAAGAGATTTTTTTATTTGTATTGTTTTTCTGCTTTACTTGATGTTGTTGCTCGCTTTGTTCCCATCTCTTTCCTTTCCTCTCATTTTCTCTTCTTTTTCCTTCTTCTGCGAGTTATGGAAAGGAGGAACAAGAAGAAGAAGAAGAAGAAAAAAAAAAAAAAAAAAAAAAAAAAAAAAAAAAAAAAAAAAGAAGCCAAAATGACGTCGTTTTGGGATTTTAGGCCACTCAAGCCTCTAATTTTTCGAGTTACCAAGCGTGGTTGTGATTTTAATTAGTAAAGTAGCAACTACCTAGCCAATGTCAACGTCACTGGTTCACTTGCACTTAACTAGGGATCTAATATGTTTGGAACGGTCGATATTTAAATAAAATTTTGTATCAAATTGATAATGTTGATTTTATTATATTAAAATTTGATACAGACCAAAATTTTTACCAAATCGCATCGATTCAAACAGTTCAGCTCAATGTGATTTAATCGATTTAAGTAATTTCAAAATGAATCATTTCTTAAATTTGTAGTATAATAAATAATTTATATAAAAATATTAAAGTAGCCTTTTGTACATAATTTTAACCATATCCAATCCAACTATTTACAAAAATACAAATAAAAAAATTAATAAATACCAATGCTTGAAGTGTTTACTAAATTAGAATTAGAAATAAAATATAATTTAAGAACCAAAGTCTTAACATTAAAATAAAACCAAAACTTAAAACAATAATTTTATTATATGTAAACATTTACGGTCAATTTTGGTAAAAATCAGTGTACAATATGTTAAAACTAGTACTGAACCAAAAATCGAAAAAAAAAATTTCGATACCTAACAAACCGATTCATATTAAAATAACGATCAAATGTGACCAGTTCGATTTGGGTCAATTAGTTTAATCAATTTTTTCAATTTTTCTTACATCCCTATACTTAACTACAAGCCATAAAGCTTTTAATGAAATGGTGAAAGGAAAACCTAAAAAAATAAAAATAAATAAATAAAAATTAAAAGATTTACCCCCTTTTGAAAAGGTGTTAAATAGTTAAAAAGTCAAAAAATCATTATGAATTATCAAATTATTTTTCCTATCTACACGTCCTTTTAGAAAAAAAGAATCAAAAAAATTACTAAAAAATTCAATTCTCAAACACCCCGATCCAATGTCATTATAAAAGTCATTACAGTTTCAATGCAAAAATCTATAGATTCAATCCAACACCTTATCCAACTTGAACAGGAAATTATTATTATTATTATTTTTTAAAACAAAAAATAAAAAATTACAAATACCCTCTAAAATTTATTTAAAATATAAATTACTCCCTTGTGATTTGAAAAATTACAAATATTTCCTTACTCTAATTTTTTATTTAACAAAATCAATTTAAAAAAAATTCAAACTACACTCTTGTACAATAATAAAATTATTTGAATTATTAATTAAAATAAATTTTTGACATCATTAAAAACTATTCATTAATTTAATAATTTATTAATAAAAAATATCATCTCTTACGAAATTAAAAATTTCAAAGAAACATGTAATTTCTAAAATCACTGGAACATACCTCATGGGTGCGTTTGAAATTTACCCAAAAAAAAAAAAACATTGTGGAAAAAACATTGTGGTTATCACTACAAAAAAAAGTGTTACTTTGGATTTTTTTCTTTTATGGGTAGTGGTGGGAACATTGTGGTTGTCACTACAAAAGTAAAAAGTTACTTTGGATTTTTTCTTTTATGGGTAGTGGAAGTTATTTCCGAATTGGTTGTCCAACCAACAATCATGCATTTTGATTACCATGCTTTCTTTAGACTAACCAGCCGTCCTGAATCTATTGATTTCAGGGTCGAGGAATATTTTTCATGGAAGAAAGTCTATGAAGGGAATAATTGTTTGTTCTTAACTCACGAGAAAGAATTCTAGCTCACTGGACAGAGTTGTTGTCAACTGTCGTTATAATTTAACTCAAGTGCCAACATAGAGAAGATTATCAAAAAGCAAACTTCGCTACAAATTACAAGAGACAACCTATCTCATCTTCCAAACTTCCACAATTAAAAAAAGGCCTATCCCAAGCAATCATCAGACTCAGGCCACCGCCATTGTCCTTCACTCACCATTGCCATCACAAAACCACTGTCCCTCTCATGCCACTGCCATCGCACAATCAATGTCCCTCACACCCCCTCTTTGATATCCCCTCCTCTCTCTTTGATCAATTCCTCGATCTCTCACATACACATACTGTGAGACAGGTACAAGCGACACAAGAAAAAATCAACATATCAATTTTCAAAATACTAAACACATGTACGAGAAATATGCAAAATATATAATTTTATATATTATTATCTCATACATATATATATATATATATTTCATTCAGAGATAATAGAAAAATACAAGACATAATAATTTTTAAAATGGAAGAGAAATTAATATTTATAAGTATATGTTATATAGAGTTGTTGATCATGGTAGCAGGGTGAGCTTTGTTGGAGCTTTTAGTCACCTTTGCAATGGATGTCCGCTCAACTGAAGGGTTAAAGCAGAAATAAAATAACTAAGATCCATTAACGTCGTCTAACCGAAAAGGCTACTGTCAATTTAGAAAGCTGGGGGAGGTCCACGAATTGTCAATTATTAGTAACCTTGGGGGAAACCAGTGCACTTTATCCAACCAAAAAACATATTTTAATTGCATCAAAACAATAAATAAATAAATCTCTGTAACTCAATAAAGAACTCAACTTATCTACTTTAAAATGGTAACAATAATAGAATTTATAGTTTTACTAGTTAGGTTTGATTCAGGCAAATAATAGTCAAAGCCATTCAATTTCCATCCTTTAATCTTTGTATTTTGGTCTTCTTTCTTTTTTAATTTATATATATATATATATATATATGGATATATATATATATATATTTGAGCGAAGAAATCTAACGGAAGAACAGTTAAGAAGACCTTAGTTAAATAAATAGTAGAGGTAAGATTTCCGCTACAAAGATTAATTTCATAATGCACAAATTCTAATACAATCGAGAGATAAAAAGAGGCAACAGAGAACAATGGGGGGAATTCCAGTAAAGGAAATCCTTCGAGGACAGATTGATTGCAATGCACCAATTTCAAAAGACAGCAACCAGGTTGCAAGGGAAGGGGCTCTGAGAAATCCAACCACCAAAAGAGAGAGCCAACAATCCTCAGCTTAAACACACCAAAGTATAAACAACTGTAATGATTTCGAGTCACCGCAGCATAAAATTACAAGGATCGGGTTGTGACACAAATAGGATCTTCAGATGCAGCACGGAACATATAATATGGTTAAGTGATTGAGGCACGAGAGTCTAATGACTCTCATCCAAGAACTGTAGGGTGGGAGTAAATATTAACTATTGAGCTGATTACAGCTAGCTCATTAATTAATAATATTACACCATCCTCCTCAAGTTTTACATTCAAATAACAATTTATCCCATGCTGTTAGAAGGCTGCTAATGACTTGACAAAAAATTGTGATTACTCTTTGTTTATGTTGGTTAGTGATTGGGACATGAGAAGAACTAAAGGGTGGAAGTTAATAGTAATTTATAGGGTAAATTACACTGATCTCGCCTGGCTATTGAGCTAATTACAGCTAGCACATTAGTTTTGAAAATATTACATGTTCTCTCTTGAGTTTTAGATTAGCCTCTGAGTTTAGCTCGTACCGTTAGAAGACTGTTATTGACTTAACACAATATTGCAGTTACTATTGATTCATCTAACCATATTTCCTATTTTTTCCCCTATAAAGATTATTTGGCATATAAAATGGATTGACCCATGAACTATACATGTTTAAATGGGAAAAACCCAAATCAGAAATCCTTTCCCTTCCTCTTTGCCAATAAACTGTTTCTCTCTCTAAGTTGGCCAATCGCACCATTTACTTTGCCAACTATAACTCAATAATGAATTATATGGAAAATTGCAATATACACCCTAGCCACAAAGAATAATTCTATATTCACTAATTAGTGTACCAACTAGTGTACCAATTGATGATGTGACATAATTTAAAAGATTTTTGATATTTGTAATTTATATAATGAGTGGGTCAATAACAATGTCATTACTAGTATTGGTACACTAGTTAGTTAGTGCATGTAGCACCACTGAGCAACAAAACATTCATATATAATCTCAATAAATCACAATCAAAATAATTAAGAACATAATCATCCTCAAAGATAGAAATGGACTCTATCCAACATCATTATCTACAGTGGATACAACCTAATGCTCAAGAAAAACTTCAAGATTAAATCTGACCTTAGGATACTTCAATCAACATGACCAGCTCTCTGGGTCCTCCTCCGCTCATAAGCAGGATCATCTGTTGGCAATTCATAACGACAAACAGGGCAGGTATTCCGAATGCCCAACCACGGCACAATGCAATCCCCATGGTAAAGGTGTGAACAAGGTAGCTGGTTTCCTAGTTCCCCAATCTTTATCTCATCCTTACAAACCGCACAAAGTCCATTGTCATCGTCCACAACCACCAATGGAAGATTTTCAACAACTGTTTTTGAAGCAGGTGGCCTTCCCACCAAGGCATTTTCATTCTCTGCAAATTGCCCAAACAACATTTCATACTCTGCTGTATTAGTGTACTCATCGTGATCGCTCAAATAATGTTCACCGCCACGTTCAAGATCCACATTTGTATCCAAATTATGAATATCCAACAAGACTTCCCACTCCAAATTCCTCATTGTAGCTACCCTCCTCTCCACACCCAAATCTTCTTGTGATGGAATTGCAGTTGAAATCGATGCATCCAACTCCTCATCCACATCGGCATCGAAAAACATGCTCAACACTTCTCTCTCATCTACCCTACCATCCACTTCTTCCCACTCAAAGTCTTCATCACCATCCCTATGATCCTCCAATCCAAACGAATCCCAACAAAGCCGAATACTTGTATCGTCATCACAACCAATATCAAACCCACAATCATCCTCCTCTGCATTCAAATTAATCCCCATAACTTCATTCTCATCCTCCTCCGAATTCGAATCCGAATCAATCCCAACAACCCTCGAACCGCCACCGAATTTTTCTCCTGTAGACGACTCACCGGACTCAGTCACAGACCCCCTTTTCGACACAAAGAACTCGTCGCCGCAATCAGCAACCATAAAACCACAATTATGATCATCATCACCACCACCACCATCATCACCACCCAAACCATGCTGGTCCATACAAAACCCTAACCCTAACCCTAGATCCAGCTCCAAATGACTCGAACCCATTTCATCATTCCCTTCAATAACCCCGAAATTCGAATCAGAAGACAACAAATCGGCGTTTCCTACTATCGAGGATTGCTCGACGCGTTGATGGAACAAGTCCATGACGAAGTTTACCTGGTTCTCGCGGTCGAAGAGATCTACATCGGTGATTGAATCAGGTTCGGAAAGATTGTCGATTCGGTCCCGGTGGCGGCGGCGAAGACGGACGGAGGAGATTTGGGGGGAGAGAGAGAGGGAGAGATCGGAGGGTGGGAAATCGGGATCTGAAGAGAAGACATCGAAGGAGTCGAAGTCGTGGGACCAGTAAGGGACGGAGTCGAAGGACACAACGACGTCGTCGCGGTCGTCTTCGTCGTCGTCTTCGCGGAGGTGAAGGTAGGAAACCTCCGCCATTGAGGAGGAGAGAATATGAAAAAGAAAAGCTTTTTTGGTGTGAATTTGTTGTTGTTGGGTTTGGTGAAAGAGAGAGAGAGAGAGAGAGCACTTTCGTTTTGCGTTTATCAGGAAGGGACTACTTATGGGTGAAATTACCACTTTGCCTATTTATGTTTGGGTGCTTGAATGTTTATGTAATAATAATGGACTGTTTGCAGAGCTGGCCCAAATGCATGGCCATTAAGCCCATTGCATCAGACCCTTTATTTGAAAGAGGCCTTATTTTTGTCATATTAATACAAGGTGGATCCCTACGGTCCATAATCAAGATTGGAGGTGCTCTTTGGGTCGGTGCGGTTCACTATAAGTTTTATTTCGATAATTTGAACAGTTTATTTTGTTAAATATTTTGTGTATTTTTATTCACACAAAAAAATTAAATTAATCTGATAATCGTAACATATTTAATTTGTTGTATTTGTCACCAAAAAATAGACCTAATTTTTTTTTCTTTTTGTGTGGATAAAATATACAATGCCTCAACAAAATGAATGATTTAGATCAACGAAATAGAATCCGTAGTGGGTTTCACGAGCTTTAATAGCACCGCTCAGTCCATAACTGGAGAGGAGTTGTCTCCTTAATATAATATGTTTTATTTTTTTGGCAAAATTATCACTTGGTCCTGTTAGTTGGAGTTATTATCCAACAAGTATTAAGTGAGATTTTTATGGACATATTAGTCCTAAAAATAGTGTATTTTACTATTAATAATTGTTGGAAAAGCAGTGAGTTTGTTATGAGAATCAATATGAGTTGAGAATTCTGTGTTAGAGCATCTTCAACGGTGAACCATTTTTTTTTATTTTCAAACCTAAGGAAAAAAAAAAGAGGCAATTTTTTCAATTTGATATGAGGTGCTTCAATAGTTGCACTGTAGCTTGCATCAAAATACTAGGGATGTCTGGCCAGTTGACCAGTTAACCGGTTGGCCAGTTAAGGGATTGAAATTTCCCCTCCCATAGCACTGCACAGCATAGAGATAGATTACTTTGCAACAATGGGATTAGCATCTGCAAGTAAAGGAATCAAACTGTTAGCAAATTAAAAGAAATCCTTGTGTCTTTTCAATCACTTGACCAATATGTGGACATTTTTCGACCATTGGTATTAGAAGAGTTTAAAGCACAGTTGCATAGTTCCTTTCTGGAGATTACTTCTTTAGAAGAGATGAGTTGTGGCAGTCTATCTGTGTTGTTAGTTAAGAGAATTGATGATTTTCATATTGTTCGTTGTGTCCACAATGACGATGTTCCTGCAGGATGTAGAAGCTGTTCAAAGAATGACCTCATTTTGCTTACAAGACAGCCTCTGCAAAATTTGTCACATGATGTTCACATGGTTGGAAAGGTATGTAATTTATTAATTTATGCTGTTTGTAACATTCAAGACATTAATTGGGTATAAAAAGAACTTACCTGGTGTAATCGAGGGTGCTAGGAGGGGTGGAGTGTGTATGGACCCAAACTATGGGATATAGTCTAAAGTGGTTACCTTGAGACTTGAACAAATATTCTCTTGCTTGGCAGTCCAAACACCTCTAATTGTCTCTTACAAATATGCAAATGAGTCTATATGAAAGATTTAATCTATAACATGTATAGATAAAAGGAAAGAATAAATTGTGTATTGATAGATGTATTAAATGTTGTGTTGAGCTCTCTCCTTTATAGAGGAGAGAGAGAACAATTACAAACCTAAAGTAGAAGCACAAACCAAACAACATTATTAAAGGTACATTATTAAAGCATACTAATTATTATACTAACCTAATTATTAAAGCAACACTTTACATATTATATTCTAACAGCCCCCCTCAAACTCAAGGAGGATAGGAACCAACCAACTTGAGTTTGGAGAGAGTAGAAAAATAAAATAAAATAAAATAGGATAGGAGACACTGTATGGTCGTGTCAGACCATTGGTGAAGACACTGGATGGTGGTGTCATAACGTTGTAGAGGACACTGTATGGGGGTGTCATAACCATGTAGAGGACACTTCAGTCTTAGCTTTTGCTATTGCTTCACTAAAGGTAGATGTGTATTGTTTTCTCCACTCCATCTTTTTCGTCTATTTAGGTCCTGTTTACGATACACTGAGCTCACTTTCTTTTTTCTTTTCTTTCTTTGAGACATTAATGGATTTTCTTAGGCCTTCATGTTTGCGCCATTCACAGTATGCATTACAACAAGAGAAGAAGGTGGAGTGGCGGTGCGTGGGGCTCGAGGAGCGGCGGGATACGTGGTGATGTGAAGTGGAATAGACGGGGTAGGAGAAGGAGGCAGTGGATCGTGGTCGTACACGTGACAGAATCCCATGGTAAGGGAGGCAATGCGTTTAATAAGAAACGAAGGGATAGGGTAATATTGGACGTTGAAAAGGCCAGTTTGGAAAAAAAAAATTGAAAAATTTCAAACTGGCGAAATTTAATCTTGACCCTTGAAACATAGGCAAATTGTGGGCGTTTGGGGTTGTTCGCTCTACCTACCTTTTTGCAAAAAACCAACACGTCCTAGAAGTAAGCTCATTTGTTTCCAGTGATATACCTCTGCAATATTTTGCGAACTTCTTCGTGCCAACGTCTGAAGCTATACGCAGACACATAGGAGAGATGGCTCGAGACGAAGTGCTAACTACGAGACTAGACTCTTTGGGGGACGACGACACAATGGAGCTAGCGAAATAGTATCGGGTGGAGTGAAGGGAGGAGAGGGGAGCGGGGCGAGTGGTGCAGGCCCGTCCGACAACGATGATCGTTGTTGCTAGGCCAATCAGCCAAGTAGAGCCGGACCACTAGCACACCAAGGCCGACAGGCCACATTTCTGGCGGAGGAGTTGAAGGAGGTATGAAGAAAGTACCAAATTCCAATAGAGATAGGGTTGAGGGTGCCCATATCTAAGGAGAGGGCATCAGATGCGCGGTCGGCAGAGTTCTCATTTTGCGAAGAAGCATTGCGGACGGGGCTGAGGTTGCCTATCCCCCCAGTAGTGGTAGATATACTGAACCGACTAGAGGCGGCGTCGGGGCAGCTGATGCCCAACGCATGGAAAATTATAATGGCCTGCGCGATTACATGGCTACGGGCGACCGAGAGAGCAGCGATGATAGTGGAAGAATTCTTTTCTTGCTACAAAGCGTTTGATTAGCAAGAAACGTTGGTGACTTTGCAGATGGTGGCAGGTAAGGGGTTAGTAGCCTGGCTACCATCGTCTGTAAAGGGGTGGAGACCGAGATGGTTCTACGTATCGGTGAATAGGGGGGAGGGGTACACATGACATGGAAGGTCCCCACCAAGTCGACAGAGCCAAAGTTGGGAGAGGAAACCGAGGGTAGGGTCAAAAAGGTGAAGGAGTTGAGGGAGAATGAGGGAGTTAGGTGGGACGGCCTGGTCCGTCCTTCAACTTTATATGCCTTAGGGTTAGGATTGCAGCCGGTGGAAGAAAACCCTGTAGTGGAGGAGTTGGAGGCAAGGTGAAAGGCAGAGGAGGCGGAGGAGACAGAAGAGCGGAGGACCTTTGCCAGAGTAGAAAAGTTTAAGGAGACGCAGTTGGGGCCTGCCCCTAAGCTGGTGATGAGGGAGCGGGTTCGACCGCGTCCTAAGCCGTTGGGCGACAAGGACTTAACTGGCTTCGTCCCATTGCCGCCTCCAGTAGACCTGTTAAAGGAGAGGGGCAAGCAGGAGGTGGAGGCACTGTTGAAGAAGACAAAGAAGAAGAGGGCGGCTGTAGAGGGGGAAAAAAGCGCTTCCGTCTAAAAGAAGATGAAGGTTGGGAGCGAGGATGCCCTTATGGTGGAGAGGATGAAGAAGGGAAGGGTAAAGGTAGCTCCAGAAGAGGAGACCGCCCAAGTGTTAAAAGAACACGTGGAGACCGCCTATGTGGCGATGGAAAACGAGGGTCCAAGCGCCCAAGTGCTGAATGAAAACTTGAGCCCAAGTGCCCAAACGGTGGCGGCATTTCCTGTACTAGAAGTAACCCCCAGTCCCAGCGAAGGGAAGACTGGGACCAATACTCTAGGGATGAGTGCTGCGTTGACGATCGCGTTGTACCATGCGTACGCGCTGGCAGGTCGCTCGGCCGACGAAGGAGGAGAGCCAGGGTAGTGGCCAACCGCATAGTTGGGGTACTAGAGGACGCCGCCGTGCGATCGATGGCACGGTTAGGAGAGGCCGACCTCCTAAGAGGGCTGTGCTCAGCCTAGATGGAGGCAGCGACCTTGGCGGCTGCCCTGTTAAATAAAGTAGCGCGTGCGAAGATAGAGATAGAGCCGCTGAGGGTTCAGCTAGAAGGAGTGAAGGGGCAGTTTCAAAAATTACTGGGGGAGACAGCAAGCTGGAAGAAAACCGCTCAGAGCGCATACGCGAAGGCACTGGAACGTGCGCAAAGAGCGAAGAAAATGGAAGTACTGGTGGTGGTGCAGAGCCATGCAGTAGACTGTGCTGGTGCTGAGCTTCTTGCAACAAGATCAGAGCTGGAAGCGGAACGCCGCAAGGAGGTAACGCTGGAGTTCCAGCTGGCGAGTGAAAGGAAACAACTAGAGCTGGCCCAACAGGCCTGCACCATTGCCAACGAGAGGTGGGAGGAGGCCATGACCAATAGTGAAGTGCTGCGCGACCAAGGGATCAAGGATAAGGAAGAGGCCGATGGTCGGATTGCAGAGTTGAAGAAGGCCTTGGCGGAGGAGAGGGCCAAATTGGCGTCTGAGAGGGTGGCGTATCTCGACTTGTGTATGGCGGCCATAGAGCAGTTTAAGGGGCCCGTCGACTTCCAGATGGCCATTGATGCCGCTGTTGCCAGTAGCTTGGCGAAGGAGGGTGGTGGGGGGGTTGGGCCGTCGGGGGTGGCCGCTGGAGGAAGGAGTGAAGAAGAAGTGATCCAGAGCTTCTAGTGGTCGGACTTCTATAAGCACAAAATGAGCGAGTTCTGGGACAGCGGCTAGAAAACCTTCATGCACAAGGCGCAAGAGCTATTTCTGGACATCGACTTCAGCCTCGTGAAGATAGGAGAAGACGTCATCGCCCAGACCCCCCTGGACGAAGGGATTGAGGAGG